GAGAGAGAGAGAGAGCACCTGTGAGATACATCCCCCAAGAGCAAAGCCTTCAAAGAACTGATGAAATGAAAGGGCTGCAATGAGTGGCCTGATAGTGCACGGACTCTGTGACACGCCAACTGATAGCCCTATGATCATAGAATGTGACACAATCCCCACTTCCAATACCTGACCACAACCATGGGTTAGAACTTTGACATCTCTTACAATTAGAAATTATTCTTGAATGGATAATCAAATTAGACAACGTCAGAAAGTTTGCAAACAATGTTACAATTCAGGACAAACAGATACTTTTTAGAGTCTCAGCAAAAGTAGGGAGGAATCTCCCCATTGAAACATTGAAACTTGAAGAGCAGCACCAAGCATGAAAAAAAAATCTCAAATTCAAAATTTCAAATTGCCCGACTTCAACCAAATTCAGGGGCATAACCACAAAATATTAGAAACTAGGTACTAAATCTAACTGTCCACATTCCAGGAAAATACACCGAGCTCCCCTCAAAATTTAAAACCACCTTTAAAGTATAACAAAGGGGAATGTAGAGTCTAATCGGCCATCACCATCCAATAAGTTCAAACAAACTCTCCCTAAACTCAAAATCACCTTAACAAAAAACCAATTGAACAAGAAAGAGCAATCAAAGCAAAAGAGAAACAAGTGCCCATACTTGAGAGACCACCACATGCCTCACATTCGATTCCACGTCCTCATGCCCTGAGTGGGTGTGGGCGTGCCCCACTAGCTTGCGAGTGTGTTCGTGTGTTGTGTCCTCACATGAGTGGTGCCCATGGGGGTGGCTATGGCGGTGTGCAGCTGCATGCGCATGCATCCCCACAATATGCATCCCATTCTTCTCTCCAAAGTCTCCTACTCTCTTTTCACCTACACCATTTCCTTCCTCCTCAGTACCCACCACCACAACCTCCCCATCCTCCATCACAGTGGACACACGTGCCCCCTCCTCTTTCTCGTGCTTCCTCTCATAATACTGAGTAGCCACAAAATCCACTACAAGAGTTATCAGAGAAGCGAACATTGCAACGAAGCCGGAGAAGGGGAACTTGGAGAACACACTTGGGAGGCAGGGGTCAGTGAGGGCAGTGGAGCTGTCAGGTAACATGTGGACGAAGCCAGTGGCAAGGATGACACCGGCCGCAAAGGCTTTAGCAACAAAAAAGACATTGCCATCAGTCCTTAGCAGCCTTTGTCTCCTACCGAGAAGGGGAAGGGCAACACCAGCGATGCTGGCAAATAGTATGATGCACATGGCAGCCATCTTCAGCTGGAATGCTGCCCTTTGGTCACGGCACTCCATCTCGGCCTCTCCATCACCACAAGTTGTTGTCACCATGGAGCTTGAGAAGATATCTACAATATGAGTTCTTATGGACTAGTTAGACATACATCATCATTGATTCCTCAGAAAACAAATCAATCTTTTGAAGAACTTGATGATTCCATGGTCATTAATGTTCAACATCAAGTTGTATTTTGGATAGGTAAGTAAAATAAGAAAAGAGAGGACATGGGGAAAAAAGAACCCAATGACTCCTTGGACATTTATGTGTTTTATTGAACCTCATCAATAGAGCAACTAAGAAAGGCAAACTGCAGAGAGAGAGAGAGAGAGGAGGGGGAGGGGGGGGGGAGGGGGGGGTGGGGGGAGCGAGAGAGATAGATAGCAGCAAGGGAACAATAATTTACTCTCAAAAGGAGTAGAAAAATCTCACTTCAGCCATTATGGAAATTCAAGTTCTTACTTCTACCTTATTATTGTACTTACAACCAGCAAAAGGCGACCTTGTGAAATGGAAGTTGAGAATCTTATCACAATGATCTACAGGCCCCCTCAGAGGTCAAAGTTTTTGAATCCCAACAGTTTTAAGATTTTAAATTCATGAAGAGCAACCACAATTTAATCTTCCAAAAGAAACAAAGAAAACCAAGAACGAGAACAAAAATCTGAAATTCAGCCAACAATTGAAGATTGATCTTTACTTGCATTTGAAACAGAGAAAAGCAACCCAAAGAAAAAAAGAAGAAGCAATGTTGTGAACTCCACTTAGTCTTCACCAAATTGATGGATGATGCAAAAATTTGGATGCCAGTTCACAGACAAATTGAAATTTGCGACCAACGAAGAATCAGCCAACATTCAAATCAAGACAGTGTCAAAGAGTAAGATGATAACATATTTTTCAGACACTTTCATTTCTATACCATCCAAATAAAATGAACAGTATAGATTACTGCAACCTTACTGCTGCAAGCAAAGTTGCAACCTTATATAAACTTTTTCAACAATAACAATGGTTGCAAAAGGATTGCGCTCATCAAACAATATTTGCATGTGCTGCTAAAAAATTGATCTGTCAGAGTAAAAAATAGGGTTATTGGTTTGGCAATCCAGAACTGATTATTTTGACCTTCTCAAGATATATGCATAATTTTAAGCCCATTCAAGGCTTTACAACAAAAATGTACTTTCTGCACTTTTACGCTCAAAATGGAAGTTCATTAGAACTGCAAAGAAGATGTACTTCTGGAGAATTACTAGAGCAAAAATGCCAATCACAATTGCCTAAAAACTCCCCTAACCACATTGTTCAATCTAGGGAAAAGGTCAGTTTGACATGAACAATGTTGTAATGTGGGATACAAATTGGTCAGCATTTGCGAGGCAAGAGAGTTCTTTTGACACCATGGGAAATATTTTGCATATTTCAGAAAATATGAAATATTAAACCCAATAACTCGTAGATCTGCTAGCAGGCAATCTGCAAAGAAGTTTCCTCTCAAGCAATTTCATCTTCAAGTATAACATGCAATGAATCTTTTGCACTGGTACTCAATGCAAACCTATTCAACATTTTAGGTTTGCAGTTTACAAATTCCCCAAGCCAAATAGGGGATAAGAACAGCCAAATGCACTTGTCAAACTCTAGCAACAGCCAAATGCACTTGTCAAACTCTAGCAACAATCGAATATGACAGAGCACTAATCATAATAATTTCATTGAGGGCGTTACCCTCCCTGAGCACTGTTCATTTTCTTAAAACGCTCCTTACTTTGCACTCTATCATGAGGAGTACACCCATGAAAGAACTCCTAATTCCATAACACCACTACTTAGCAGACTGCATCATCTTAAAGAGATAGCATGCTATGAACCCACAGAATATGGGGAAAACCATACTCCGCTGGCTTGTTACTATCAAACCAATGGATAATTTGATGATAAAAAGAGAGTAATCTAGGACATGACATGTCCCTGGTAGTGGGTCTTACTCTCCCTCCATCACCAACCTTCCTGATTGCGTGGAAAGGAGCAAACAGTAATGTTTTTCCAGTCAGAGCGATTAAACCCTATCTCGAAGTCTCTAAGATGGCTTTCAAAAATCTTTATAGAAAAATAATAATGGTGACTCTAATTCAGTTCTCAGTAAAACACCACCTCAAGAAGATGTTGCATCAGCACACAATAACTAACCTATTAAGCTGGATAAAGGAACAGGCAAAAATAAAATTTAATTGTTGATCCATAAGCAATGTTTTGGTCTATCACAGACTTTCTATATTTCTAATCTAATAATTCTGACAACCCCATATCCAGTGACTGTCCTTGAACAATCTGAATCTGAAAATTACACACCCCCTTGACAAACCAGCAACCAATAGCCATTTGTAATGAATTATCCTGCAAATGCAGTCTGATTCTAAATAAAAGCAATGAAACTTATATAATTGTGAACATAGATTTCACCAAGTTTCTAAGCTTCCATAATGAAGTCTCCTCAAGATTCAGAGAACGTCAATATAGATTAGTTTTATAGGTATGAGTAGCATCCCTGAACCGGGCGATGCCTCGGTGCTAAAACCCAAGATCATTACTGTGTTTTGAAAGTGACTGAGTCTACCCAAAGTTAATTTATGTCAGAGGTGATTTAGAAAAATGATGGCGCAAACAGTTCCATATCAAAAGAAAAATTTATCATAACTTCCCAAGTAGATAATCTGTAATTGTCCTTTGCTCAGAGTGCCTCATCCCACCTCTCAAAAAGAATCAAAACACTGTGCTTACCAGCACATTTATCATAACTAGTTTGATCAAGTGTGATATCCTCACAAACAATTACTCATGTGACCAAAGAAGTGCAATTTATAAGGTATGATTCACCACAAATCCAGCGACCAAAGTTCATTTCCAAACCCAACAAGTATATTGCATTTCAAGAAGGGTTGAGACAAAGCAATAGCAGAGTGTATTACATATTTCTATGATGGGGTCTAGTCAAACTTACTTTAATTTCTATGACTAGTGAAAATTCTCAGCCTTTTCAGTAATAAACTTAAATTCTCCAATTCCTTTATAAACTTGTAACTACAAATGATCAGGGAAATGAATTGATCAGCTACCTGAAATGATTTGAACTTTCTTCTTTACATAAGTAAATCCAAGAACAGGCTCAGCACCCAAACCGCCAACAAAGTCCTGCAAAAAAAGAAAACCCATCATCAGTATCAGTGCTCAGAGAGAAATATATCATTAAAAATTCCTAAATTCATAAGGGACAACAAATTCATGATTGAAATACAATGGGTGGTCATTAAAACACAAAAGAGAAAAAAGAAGAAAAAAAAAACAATGAAATCAAACAACTCAAATACAAAAAATGCGCACCAGTAGTTGACAAAAATTAGAGAAAAATTAAAAAATAACAAGAACAGAAAACTTGTAATCACTAAACATTTTTCATAATTTTTTCACAAAAAGGTGGGTTCTAAGAGAAAAATAAAAGCACTAAATCATATGCTACATATTCCCGAAAAAAACAGTAAAATTGCTGAAACATGCATCGACTTGTCGAATTATTTAAATTCAGAGAACCAATAACTAAAATAACAAATCCGCGACAAACAACAAAGTTTTCTTCTTTTTTCAAGAATTAGAAAACTAAACAAACAAAGACTCAAACAAAAATCGAGAAAGCTATTTCATAAGCACCTCGAGGAAAGAAGACATGGATTCCGAGCCCTTCTTTGCCTAATTTTCAAGCTTTTTCTGTGAATCAAGAGAAAGAGAGAGAGAAAAGTAATAATCCTTGATCAAAGTCGTCAACTTTTATAAGTATCGGGAACTAAGCACGGCTAAATGACATGATTTTACTGTAATTCTTTTCTTTATCACCTCATATTCTTATCATTCAATTTTCTTTTTCCCTTTTTTTCATAATTTTCGAGAGAGAGAATTTATTGTTGTGGAACACTTTTTTGGGCATTTTTCCGGAAATTTCGCACACAAGTTATGACGAGTCTTGAGTGTCGACACTTCACCTTATTTTTCTATTCAAAATCTAAAAATGATGTAAATAATGTTATAATATTACACATTCTACAACCCCAAAAAATTATAAAAGATTGCACAACTCAAACCAGACAGACTAAGGAATAACCGAAATCTTCCAGCTTTCTCAACGGAATTACAAAAAATTAGTCCATATATCAGTAAAAAAAAAAAACTTAAAATAAAAATGTTCAATATTTTATTCTAAATTGGGATAAAAGAAGTTTATTTTCCATTTTTCTCATAGAAAAGCTTTTATTTTATTTTATTTTTTCTCTAAGTTAATGCGATGATTTGGAAAATTTTGATCCTCTAAGTCAAATATTTTGGAAACAATAAAAAAAAAATCAAAAATTTTAAAAAGATGAGTTCATTTTCCTGCATTCTATTCTCTCTTTCATACTCATTCTTTTTCTAAAACAAGGGGATTGAAAATTGAAAAGCTCACAGATTATTGCCCATGAAAAGAGCAATTGACTACATCTTATATGCTTTCTCTTTAATACGTGGAAATCAATAAACGCGAAAATAATATCATCATCATCCGCGCTTTATTTCAATTATTTGGAGTGGACAACACCAAAAAATTTAAAAACGCGAAAACATAAAAAATTTCAATATTTAGTTTTATTTCATCTTTGACAACAAAGAAATTAGAAAAAAAACAATAAAAATCAAAGCTTTTTAATCAGAAAACTTACAGTGTCAAAGAGTGTGGAATAGAGATCTCGCCATCAAAGAAGAGTTCACGCATTACGGCTATATAGAATGCCAACTATGATTGTTGGCCGTTGGATGATGTGATGGTTGATCTGAGCCGTTGGATGGGAGGGCGCGATTGGTGTGTTTCAAAATGACGACATTATGGCGAAACTATGCGACACTATTGAGGGTGGTGAGACGCGTTAGTTATGAAATATGGGCGTTGGGATGGCGACAGATGAGGACATGGGTTGAGTGAGCCGGCGGGACTTTGGACCTTATTTTGGAGGAGAGTCGTAGGTTGGTTCATCTGACGACTATCAATCCACTTGTTTGTGTTTGTTTTTTTCTTGCATGTGCAAGACACTCTCAAGCTTGGAAAGTTATATACGCGAGTGGCCGATTTAATCGCGACTTTTAAAAAAAAAACTGAGTTTTTTTTTTTAAAATGATTTAATTTGTGATTTTTTCAAGAGAAAATACATTATCTTTTCAGGAAGAAGTCTAAAAGGCCATTTTTTCAAAATTTGAAAAAAATCATTTCCAAAACTCTTTCCTATTAATATATTCTGATTATTATATTTTGGAAAGTTCAATATCTTTTTTCTGTTTTATGAAATTTCTATTATTATTTTTATTTCTATTATGTGAAATTTCTATTATTATTTTTATTTCTATTCTCAAGAAACTTTCTCAGTTATCTGCTAATGATATGATCATATTTGTTTTCGGATGGTTATGGGTAGACCATAGTTAGCAAGCATGGGGTAGACAATTTCTTTCTCGAAAGATGAAAATTGAATTCACCTACCCAATATTTATATTGACGAATAGAATAGATAATCATTTTGTGATTTAGAGATATATCACATTGAATATTTGGAATTTATATTTATAGGGAGGTCATTTTTATACTGAGTGATATATATAAAGTGAAAGCATTACTCGTCACTACTATTAATTTTTTCTGTACTGAGTAATATATTTATTTAGAGTTTTAAAATTTCTAATATGTTAAATATATCCAATTTTTTTACTCTAATTTTTTGAGTCTAGTCCAATATATTCGCGATCTCTTTACATGAAGTATTTTTGTCAATCCATATTTTTTACCAGATATTTTTATCCAAATTTTTAAAATAAAAATTATTATTTTCCGATTTCATGTTGAGCCGATTTATTGATAATCCCCGATTTGCTAACTATGATTATATACTACGAGCTTACTCTCGGGGGGTGGTAGTGGGCCGGGTGGCCCGGCCCTAAAAAACTACAGCCTTGGCCCGAGGGCTGGGCTAGGGCCAGGCAATCATGGTCCAAGGATAGGGCCTGACAGAGCTTGTGCCAAGGCTGGCTTGGTTCGGCCTGGCCCGACTCTTTTTTCCTTTGTTTTCTCTTTTACTTTTAATTTGATTTTATATGACTTGCCAGGCCCTAATAAGGCTAGTGAGCCAGGGTGGCCTTGGGCTTGCCCTATGGGGACTAGGGCTGGCCTGGCCCATTACTGGCCTTACTATAGATTCTTACAATCACCATCATGATCATCTAGACTAATTTAACAAGAATTTGTGAAAATATTGATTGTCACCATGCATCTGTAGTTCTTTTAAAAAAACTTGTTCAAAATGGGTTCAAGATTTGGAACTTTGAACAAGTAATGATATTTTAATAAAGGATATGTCAGGATACTCATACATATAGCTTCATTTAAGTGGCACCAAATGACATGAACACCCTTGTTGATATGGGATAGGAAGAAGGAATAAACGTCTACAATAAAAAATAAGTGATATGTACTGTTAAGCCAAAACAACTAGGGGTATTATCATTATCATCATTTAGTAGTTTTGTGTTGCTAACTTTAAAAATTGAAAAGTATTATCATCATTTAGCTCGGACGCTTAAGTGGATCAATTACTTTACTTATTTAGAGTTCCCCATCCTAAACAACAGTAATTTAATCTTTTTAACTTATGATCGGTGAATGTACAGCCAATTTTGATATCAATGGTGTGAATGTACACCCGATCGAAACGTGAAAAGTGAACACCCTAGTGTTAAACCAAATGGCTTGACCATCTTAACAGTTTTATGGGTGTTCTAATACCAAAATTATCAATCCGGATCACTGATTTGGATGGGAATTAATTGGGCTCTAACCCGTTCCAGAATGGTATATATATATATAAATCGAAAAAAGGCTATAGGCGAAATGCTACAGTATTTTGCAACCGCCACGGACTTGCTATGTCTGTAGCGGTTTATTAAACGGACCTGGAACGAACAACTTTATTGAACGGACCGGCAACGGATCGTGCCGTCCGATGCGGTTTAACATGAATTTTTTGAACCCCACGGACCTAGCATGTCCGTGGTGGTACCGATTTTTTCAGACGGTGATGAATTTATGGGCGAAA